ACAAGGAACCCGAATTTGGAGAACTGCCCTAAATCCTCAACATCCCAGTCCTTAGAGCCTTAGCGCAATCGCTAAAGCCAAACACCCAAAAACCGTTAACACCTTGAACCCCTAAAGCCCGAAATCCCTAAATCCCCTAAAATTCCCTAAATCCCCTAAACCCTGAAGCCCTAAACCCCTATAGTACCCTCACAAATCCCTTTAAAGGAACGCTCACAATCCCCTTTAAAGGAGCCCCTGAAACCCCTACTTGGAGGGTCGGGGGACTTAGTAAGTAGGTAGTAAGTAGACTTATAAGTACCCTAAAAGGGACCCTAATTGGTGTAATGGCACTTATAAGTCCCTAAAATAACCAGTTACTAAGTCCCCCGACCCTCCAAGTAAGAACCCTCCCAGCTTGGCAGGTCTTTGGCGCCCTGCCGCCGGGCTGCTGCTGACGGCCCGAGCTCAAAAGCTGCGCGCCGACGTCACCCGGCTTTACATGCGGGGGTTTCCTTTAAGGGTACCCTGTAAGGGTACCATAGGGTTCTATAGCAGGGTTCCTTTAAGGGTACCATAGGATTCTATAACAAGGTTCCCTGTAAGGGTAGCTGATTTGCGCATTTAATGGCGAAGGGTTCGGGATTTCATTTTGACTTTCCGTTCAGTTTTTCGTGACGGTTAGGGTTCGAACATAAGGAAACACGAAGTGCTGCTACTAGGAGGGTTCGATAGCAAGGAAGCAGTAAGGGAAAGAAGCGAAGTTACGATGAAGGCTCTGGTTAGGGTCGCTCAGGTTCATAGTTGAGGGTTTGAGCTTTGGAGATGTCAGATTAGGGTTCTGAAGGTGTCAGAAGGGTGCAGGGATTCTACAGCTCAGGGTTTCGGGTTTCAGGGTTTAGGGCATTAGGGTCGCTTCGAGTGCCTGTGAGAGAGAGAGAGAGAGAGAGAGAGAGAGAGAGAGAGAGAGAGAGAGAGAGAGAGAGAGAGAGAGGGCATTAGGCTCGGGGTTGGGGGTGCTTCTGGGCTTCTGGGTCTCGGGCATTGGGGTTGGGGTTGAGGGTGCAGTGTGCAAGATTGAAGTCCTGCAGGCGCAGGTTAGATGTGCACAGTTTCGGGCTCCAGGTGGTATACTATGTAAGGCGTCGAGCTTCCACTAGCTAGTGACTGAAGCTTGCTGAAACGTTGAAACCTCTGACTTGTTCGGCACTTCAGAGGAAGAGGCCCTAATTCGGAGCCTGATCCTGAAGGGCCGTTACATAATCCCTAAGGCCCCTATAAAGATTCTACATTATAGGGTTCGTACCCTATAGTAGATTCTACTTGGTAGGGTTCGTAATCAAGAACCTACAACAAGCAGCCTCTCGTTTAATTTAAGACAAACCCTAAGAAGCCAGCGTGGGTGGGGCTCTGTGGGTAGGTCGTGAGCTACACTGCGACGCTCAGCGCTTTCGAAAAAGGCAGCCTATGGAAGGAAGCGCTGGAGGCTCCAGCGTGTAAGAGGCTCCATTCCGGATTCCTAAAAGTGGTCCCATAAACTATAAGGGGTTTGGGTATTTTATTTTCCAAGGCGGGTTCCTGTCAAAGTGTTTAATTGGGGATTTGCTGTTTGGCGTGTCTCTGCGAGCTCTGCGGAGTATGTTCCCATCGCAGAGCTGGCGACCGGAGAATCGAGGGATTCATGTCCAAGAACCCGAAAAAAGAAGCACTGCCGATGGCTTAGACCTTCGGCTGCTGTCGGATTTGTTCCTGGTTTAGGGTGGCGGTGCACTGCGGTGCACATCCAGGCGGGATCCACACAAGCCTGTGCAAAAGCGTTTTCGGTTCAATTGTTTTTGTCCTTGCTGGATTTCCATAGGTCACAACAGTTCAACTCAGCAAAGCCCTTAGGCACTCAGAGTGCCATGTAGTCTCCGGAGTCACCACGAGCCGGCTCCTTGTACCTCATTCTCTAACCGTGCTTCGCATAAGTAAAGCTCGTTCCGAAAGATCGGATCCGTAAATTCGGGACTCCCAGAAGGAGCCTCCAGTACAAGGGGGGATGACGGTATCTGAATTCTCTGAATCTACGAGGCCAATGCAGGGGCCCAAATAATCACCAATACCATTTTGAGGGCTCCTTATTACAAGGTTTCTAATTATTGAGGCCCCTATGCTAGCTGATCTGCTGGGCATTGTCGGTGCCCAAGTTGAACAGAGCGAAATACCTGGACCCTGTTGAGACCTGCCTTTTTCGGGGCTCGTTACTATGTTTTCCTTACGTAGGTTATTCAGGGTCCAGGCAGACCCTGAACAGGGGCCATACTGTTGATGTCATAAATTATAAATCCTGCATTAGGTTAAGGACCCTAAACTATATGCGAAGAATGGTATATTCCTTGTTATGGGTAATGCAGGGTTGATATTATCAACACTAAACCCTTAAACCGCTCAACCCTAAACCCCTAAACTATGCTTAATTATGGCAATGCAGGGTTTATATCGTCAGCCCCCTATAGATCCATTAAAGGGACCCCTTGAAGGTACCCTCATAGATCCTTGTACAGGAACCCTAAGATTTATATCATCAACGGTATGCCAGCCCCCGGGAGGTCTTCCGCGGCCTTCCCGAGCAGGGTCTGGAGGTGACACAGGTGAGCCTCAACAGCTGCTTGGACCTGGTCTAGCTTGTTTAGGTTTAGAGGCTCTACAGTACAAGAGGTTGCAGAACTTTTGCGATGTTTGGGCCCAAAATAACGGGGTTTTGGTAAGTCCTTGGTTCCCATGAGGGCTTCACAGGGCGTGCTAGAGGTTTCAGGCGAAGCAAACCTCATGTCGAGACTCCTGGCGGTTTCTTTCGCCCACAAAATCTTAATCACCCTTCACGTGTGAGTTTGTTCACCTTCTTCTTCAATCCGAGGGGTTTTGGCTCCAGAATGGATGGAGCTTTGCTCCTGCAATTCCTTTCATGTACCTGCCCTTCAAAACTTATCGGAACCCGAGGGCTAGGTTCCAAAAAGCGATTACAAAAGGCTGCAGGGTTCAGATTCTAGCTTCACTCCCGCCGGAGAGTTCCTGAGATGCTTTAGATTGAGCTTTTGGTCTTCAAGCTTCGTGGGTTGGGGGACTGTGGGTAGTTGTTCATGTTCAGTTACCGATGCTAATGGCTGGTCATGCCTTTGAATTATTTGTTGGGTCCGGAGAAGACCAGAACTCATAGCAGTAGTGAGATGTGTTAGCTATGGCAGGGTTACTGCTGCTGGGAAGCGACACCTGGCATCCAATTCGGCCAGGTCATGGTTAAACTTCTTCAGACATGTCACTCACTTGTCACATGCTCTGCTCAACAACCGGCAAGTTGTCTGGGTATGTCTGGATTTGCTCCAACAAGCGAGCTCTCCCAAACCAGAGAATTCGCACTCTGACCCTGTCAAAGCTCAGGTGCGCTGAGTGCCCTCACTCGACCCGGCCACTGGCTCGGCGCTTTGCAGTTGCTGTCGGCTGCTTCCGACACCAGGACCGGATGTTCGGCTTTATCACCTGCAGCCTACGGATCGTGACGGCCATGGTCCTAGCTCTGATGCAGAGTCAGAACTATAGAGCCAGAAATCAACGTCGTCCGTAGGAAGCCTGGGTCTTGTTGACGAAGCAGCAGCTCAATACTCTTGTCACGATAGAGTAGGGCGGAGTATATGCTTCAGGCTGAGGCTCTAAGAAGGCGCGGGATGATCTCAACAGTTTCAAGAAGCCGGTGACTTGATCCGGTCTAAGTTCCAAGAACCATCACCACATTATCGCAGTGTGGAGCCAGAGTCGGAAACTTCAAGTTGACCTGGCTGGGTTTTACTGCCAGACTTCTGTTTCTTTTTCTCGGATGAGTGAAGCACGGTGATTGTCAGACGGAGCATGCGAAGGAGTCCGCTGGATGTGGTTAGCTTCGCGACATCTTCCACTTCAGGCGCACCAAGATGCGTTGCAAATCTGATTATTGCTGCCTCGACCTGCGATGGTAGTTGCTGGTTTCGTACTGCAGTGCAAAGAATGCAATCGTGATATGCAGGTCGGTTATACCCAGACCCGAAACCCTGAACCCTAATTACCCTAAATCCTATAGACCTTAGACCCGAAACCTTTGAACCCCTAAACCATAAACCTAACACACGCCCTCCAGCTCCCTGGCTGGTTGCCCGGGACTTGCTCACGACGGCGCAGAGACAGCGCCTGCGCTTGGAGAGTCCTCTCGCTGCGATTTCGAATTGGCATTCCAGGGTTTGGGGTTTGAGGGTTGGCCTGGATGCAAAAGAGGGTTTGATTGTGGTTCGCCTGGGGCAAGAGAGAGAGAGAGAGAGAGAGAGAGAGAGAGAGAGAGTGAGAGAGAGAGAGAGGGGTTTACGTGGGATGTGTATCAGGGACGACAGGCTTCAAGGAAGAACTGTGGAGCTGTGGAAATCCCTCGGGTGTGAAATGAACGAGCCAGGAATACGGCCTCATGCTCTGTGTATCGCAGGCTAAGTTTTAATTCATGACAGTAGTTCACTTACGATCCATTGTGTTGTGGCCGTGTCCCTACAGCATAGATCCTACTACCTTTTTGATTCCATGCATGCTTAGGTGGACGTACTTTTGTGTTTAACCCAAAACAACTTGAACCCTTAACTTGTCATTCCTGCTGTAACAGGGAGGAAAAGATCCGTCAGAAAAAATCACACAAGCAACCTGTCGCATCCGAGCCTTCACGGTTTCTAGGGTTGGTTGGTGTAAGCTCGGCGGATGCACCGAAGGCACTATGTACCTAAATACTTTTGTGCCTTTTAGTACCTCTATAAGAAGCCTCTCCGGCTTCAGTATACCTTAAACCCTAGGCCCTAAACCTGACGCCCTAAATCCCTAAACCCTAAACATCGGCACCTTATTTGGGGTTCTTATAATAAGGATCCTGTAGACTATTTAGGGTACCATATTGGGGTCCCCTATTTTCGGAAACTCCCATATAGGTTGTGGAGGTACATGGAGCCTGAGGGTGAGTTTTCGACTTCCAAGGCATGCCGATGCATGGGCCCTGGCGCTTGGCTGCGGCCTGCTTTTTCGAGGCGTGTGCTCACCCCAAGGGTGCATCGTCCCCAAGTAGTATGTACTTTGGCCCCAAAGTACCTATATGGGGACTATACTTTAAGGCCAAAGCATTAAGGCCAAAGCACGCAAATATTTGGGTGCATGGACCCTTAGTGAGCTACAGCTGCGCAGGTCGAGAAGCTCTCCAACTGAACTCTATTGATGCCTGATGACCCTCAGCCCTGCAGCCTACAAATTTTGTAACCCTAAATCTCGAAGATCCTCAACCATGGTCCATGTAGGTTGCTGATGTGTGCTTGTTCCCTGAACCGGTAACTGCCAGGGAGACGCGGCAAGCCGCGGAATGTTGGCAGCACAGCCGCAGTTAAATTCAACTCATTGAAGCAAGAGTTTGGGTTCAGGGCTTTCTGGGTTTAGGGTTTAGGGTTTAGGATACCTCGGCATCGGGAGGAATGGATGTGTTCGTTGTTTTGTGTGTTAATCCTCTGCGGTGTTTGTAAGTACCACTGCACCACTCGCCTTGTGAATGTGGCGGGTGATGCGGATGTCCCCGAGCATGTTATATCCTATTCAAGATACAGACTAGCCGTGGGCTTCGGCATAGTTCTTGTAGTTTGCAGTTCTGGCACCAAAACAGCCTTCATTCTTCAAAGTTCCTCGACCGAGCTGAACACAGAATGTTTGAATGCAAACCTCAACCCCAAGGTCCTAAACCCTAAACCCCTTCTGTACGTCAGTCAGTTTCTACCGACCAGTCAAAGCACTAAGCACCGAGACCTCGTTTGGCTGGTCCGAGTTGCGAGAGCATAAGCCCAGAATCATAAGGTTCGGGCTTCCGCTGCAGAAGGTGACTGGGTAGCCAGCCTCGCGATGCATCAGGTCAGCCGACAGGCGTCCGCAGATGCTCAATGCTTTAGGGTGTAGGGTTTCGGGTTTGGGGTGCTCCAGGCGAGGTACGAAGACTGTTGCAAAAAAGGGTGTTTTAGAGAGAGACAGGGAGTGGGGCCAGGGTTGAAGACTTCGTAATTGTAGGGTTGTCACAGTAACGGTGTTGGTGTTCAGGGTCATTGAGGTTTAGCAAAAGGGTGTAGAGTGACGGTGCGCCATATTTGTTTGTGAACCCCTACTCCAACCCTAAACCCTAAACTGGGCCCTACAAAGCCTCAGCTTCTGTCAGTGTTGATTGAGCAATGGTCTCATTGCTGGAGAAGCTTTAATAGGCTGTCAATGCTACACAGCCTAGTCAACTGTCGCTTCGACGCTACCCTGCATTGACTCGCGAACATCAAGAGAAGCGCAGATGACTACCTGTAATTCCATTTTGAATTTAACATGTGCTGATACCTGTGCTGTTACATACACGTACACATACATACACATGAGCATCGACACGTACGCGCACAACCACATATCTATCTGTTCGTCAAGAGGTCTTCACTGAAATCTGTATTGTAAAACCAGCTGATATGATGGGTGGTTTACTGTAGGGTGCCAGCTCGACACCCATCGCGAGGACGATCTCTTTACGTACAATCACATAATCAAGTCCATGCAGGACCCGGTCATGGCCCTTCTGCTTGGTTTCGTTTAGCAGGGCGAAGTCGCCGTGGGATTTGGCAGTCGTTAGGATTTGGGAGTTTCCGAAAATTCGGGGTACCTTATTTTGGGGTCCTTATAACACGGATCCTACAATTTAGGGTCCTATATTAGGGTGCTCCGTTTTCGGAAAATCCCATTTGATTCGTTCGGGTTCATAGGTGGACACTTCTGGCGTTCTTGCAGGACTGGTGCGCGGCTTGCTTCCTCCTGCACTGCATGGAGACAGCCGGGATTCAACCGAGTGCAGTAACCACCAGCACGTTGGTGGCTCGGCTGACTCGCCTTTGCGTGTTGAATTTGTTGTGCAGGAAGTTGGGCCATAGGTTCCTCGATGTGCCACACACACCATCCAACCGGAGCATCTTGGAAGGAGGCAGAAGTGCCATGTTGGGTAGTCAGCAATGTACTTGATTCTTCCTTGGCATGACCTCAAGCAGAAGGTCAACCATGTGGTGGCAACGAGGGGTTGGCGGCGGACAATGCAGCTGCTGCATCACCCGCCATCTCACACAAAAACCGTCTACACCTTCAACGGTGCAATCACCGCGTACCTTGGCCGCCGGCCCCCTGAACGCCTCAACCCTAAAACCCTAAACCCAAGTAAATCAAGTCAAAGTTGGAGCCAGGAGGCCCTCCAAATTCCAGCACTTACTCGGAGGTTCGTGGGTACTTACAAATGGGGTTATAAGTCTTTTAAGTTATAAGGGATCTATATGGTTTAAGGTTTTGGTTTTGAGTAGTTAGAATTAGAAGAGCGTCCCCTAATATGGGTTATAATTATAGTTACCCTACTTACAGCCCTCGTCATACTACCCCTGAACCTTCAAGCAGGTACTCCGGTGGACGATGGCTTCTTGCAATTTGCTTGGTCGCGCAGATGTCTTCCTCCCGTTTGCTGGCAGACACCATCTCATACAACGCGGCCACCACGGCCATAGAGGCTGAAGCTTAAAGTTGCTTACATTCTCCAGTCCCCTGAAAGACTCCAGAGTACTAATGACTAAAACAAATAGAAGAAGCAATAGTCAGTAACAAGAAGAAATAATCATTCGTAGGTCTCCTTCTGTGTGGTATACTATGCCCCAAACCCCACTCTTAGTGCGGCACCAGCTAATCCCCTTCAGGTCATCGGCGCCAGCGTTGTTCTGCTGAAGAAGTATACCCTAAAGGGGACCCTAATTGGGTTTATGGTACTTACAAGTCCTTAAAATAACCAGTTACTACGTCCCCCGACCCTCCAAGTAAGGTAGCAGAAGGCCCGTCCTTAAAAGCTTCAACAGGCCAAGCTGTACCTTAACCTACCAAACCTTGCTTTTTTGTAGGGTCCCTATAAACTCCATATTTAAGGTTCATAATCAGAACCTACAAAAAAGTAGGGCTTGGTAGGTTAAGGTACAGTGAAACCCCAAGGCCAAAGCTGCCAAGTGAAATGGACTTTTAATTTGCGCTTATGGGCTTGGCCGTATGCCCTTGCGATACTACTTGCTCTGCATGAGGAACTTGCAGATGCGTGAACCCTAAACTTTAGGTTTAAGCTGTCAATCTCCCAGGCAAAGATCTTTCAGCTGCAGAAACCCTCCGAACCCGCTGACAACGCCAAACATCTACACCTAAATCCCTGAACCGCCCAAGCCCGAACCCCGATGATGACCCTAGAGAGGCTGCTGGGTCTTGGGCCGTGGCGATTGGCCTGCTGTGCCAGGCCGCCGACAGGAATCTGGAGCAACCCGGTGTGTTTCTGCTTTGATGGGCCATGCCATGGCCTACCTGTAGCCCCAAACCTGCAAAATGCAGGTCCATAGCAGCTTTTCCCCCAAATCCTAAAATAGTAGGTTTGTGGTGTCCACAGCTAAGCTAGGAGTCCGAAGCCCCTTCCAAAAGCTGAGGCTTTAGGGAGGCTCGGTGGAGGTGTCCCAGACATGACCCTAGAGGTAGGGCTTGTTATGGGGCAAAGGTAGCGGGGTTTGGGTTTATAGCGTAATTTGGGCTCACAAACCGTAAGCCTTGTTTCGATCGTAAGCCCCAGACCCAATCATCCATAATCCTAGAAGCCCTGAATTCTAGACCCCGGTGAAGTAGTAGTAGCAGCAGCAGTAGTCGTCGTCGTAGTCAATACAAGCGGGCTGGTTCCGCTTGGCCGCTGCCCTTTGCCATGTTACTGCTAATCCCTGGCTCAATGGATTCGCCGAGGCACACAGGGAATAGCTTCCGTGCGGCCATCACTGCCACCACGAGCAGGATGCTGGGCTTTAACTGTTTTTCGATTCGGTGAAGCAGTTTATTTTCTAATGTGCGGTCGTCACTGGTCTCGCGGTTGACTGGGTTTACTAGCACTCGTATGGTCATCATCTGTGTTGCTCGACATTGGCGATCATTGATTTCATAAGTTGTTTCGCGGGGGGGGGGGGGTGGTGGCTTGTTTGATGTCGTTGAGCCGTTGAACATGCATCGTGGTGCAGGCGGCGAAGTCGAGATTGGCCGATAGTGATGTGCCACATTTCTGTCTGAAACACTGTCTTTTACGAATTATGTGGTGCGTCCAGGATTTGATGGTGGTCTATAAGCACTACTATAAGGGTTTCTACTACTACAAGGGTTACTTTTACTATAAGGGTTACTATTACTATAAGGTTTACTACTATTGTAAGGGTTACTAAAAAACTATAAGGGCTACTGTTACTATAAGGGTTGCTATTACTATAAGGCGTCTACTACTATACGCTGGCACAGTCCGTCGCAGGTCTCGCTGACAGTGTATTTTCGTGATTCGTAAGATTCGTAAGAAGACCTTCCTCTGTCTGAGGCCCTTTGTCACCATATTAGCGGTCAAGAGTCCTACTATCCGGGCCTTAAGGACTAGCTATACTATTTTGGGGGTTCCTTAGTATAGTTATAGCATAATGGGCCCCAAAACCCTAGTCTAATCAATAAGGCTTCTACGTTACTATGTGAATCAGCAATTGAATCATTGAAGAGGGCTTATGCAATGGCACCTCGGTCATGTACCGGTGTTGCCTCTGATTCCGACAGCAGAAGCCGCCGCACTTGAGACCTTTCATATAGTATCCCGAGTGCGCTTTTTTGGCCCAGCGCGTGCTGGACCAGCCCAATCGATCAGTCCCCATCATGATTTCAATGATTTCCTGCGTAGAACAGGTGCCGACTCTCCAGCTCATTGTCTTGTCGCAGACCTCCAGTTTAATGGCAACCCCAAACGCCTGTCTTCCCACCTCAGACACCGTTGGCGCTCGGCGGTGGTGCTATGGCGTTCCGCTGAACATGTCGGCTTGGGTGGCGTGCGGGCGGCATCGCTACAGGCCAAGCTTCTGGTAGGATATTTTCTACATAGTGCCGGTGATCAATCAGATGTCCACAGGACGTCTGTAGAGGGTTCTAAAGTGTTTGGCTTTGCGTTGTTCATACTTAGGACAGGGTGCTGACAGGATGTGTGCAGGTTTTCAGAAACGGCATAAACCGGAAGGGTCTTAGTGAGGGGAGCAGAGTCCCGGTACAATATACCTGGTGCTCGACTTACCGATATGCTTCTTACAGGGAATGAGCATATTCGCTGATTGTTGAAGGGTGCTTGGTCCGCTGCTTCAATTCGGGGGACTTAGGGAACCGGGCTGTAAGCTACTGGAGCAGGCAAAATGCGTTAAACTACATAGACGGTTTCTTCACGCAGGGTTGTATTGTCTTAATTATGATACTCTCTCTGTCTACATAACGCCCATGCCGACATGGAAACATGTCCTGGCCCAATAATACCTACAGACCCCTGAGCCCCCTAATTGGCTTCTTTTAATTGGCTTCTTGTCAAGGAATCTAAACTGGATTTATAGCCAAACGAGGCAGACGTGTTGTTTACTACATCTACTCTGTTTCCAAGCTGTTGTAGCTTAAGAGAAGTCTTGAAAACCATCCCCTACATCCATCTAACCTTTAAGCCTTGTAAACCTCCAAGAAGCCACCCTAAACCCCAAAGCCCACGAGGCATGCCAAAGTGCTCAGCAGTGGCAGTGGGCATTGGCGGCCTTCTCTTCGGTAGAGCCTTTGCAAGATTTGCAGCTACGTCTGGGTTTTGGGCTTTAGTGTCTTAGGTTTTAGGGTTTAGGGCTTCAGTGGATGAGGTTTTAGGGGTTCAGGGCTTCAGTGGCTAAGGGTGCAGGGTTTGGGGTGACTGGAAGCCCCAATCCGGGTTGAGGGTTCAGGGTTCAACCCGTAGCCGCAGCCCTTAGAGCTGTATTTCATTTAACTCCTACAGTAATTCAAGAACCTGCGGGGTCGCCCTGGGACTTCTCAAGGATTTGCTTGCTGATTAGGCCGTTTAGGGTTTGGGGTTTTGGGGTTTACGGTTTAGGGTTTGGGGTATCGCATCGACGAAGCATAGGCTCGGCACTCACTCTTTCAGGCTTTCAAGCTCATGACCGTCGTTAATTTTCAGTTCTGGGCCTGCCACTTGTTCATTGGTGTGGGTCGCAGAATACGTGGTCAGCAACCTGCTTTTCAGGTACCTGGATCCCTAGAGAACTCTAGGACGACAAAGTGCCCATCACTTCTGATACTGGTTTTGTGTGGCCCTTGCCCTGTGTTCAGAATTCCCATGTACATATATGTATTTGTTTTATGCGGTTCTTTCTGAAACCAAATGTTGGGAGAAGCAGAAGCCGTTAAAGCAAAGTCACTTGCAACGGCCCTTATACACACCCACACGGCACACACACACACAAACAAACAAATGCACTGGCAAGGATGCCCCGAGCATCATGGATTGCAACTGTGCTTTGGGCACATGCGTGGAAAGCTGCCTGCCTGGACCTAAATCCTACACCAAAGAGGCCTAAATGATTACCAAGACTATTTTGGGGGCTCCTTATTAAAATTGTAGTATAATCGGTCCCGCAGCCTTATCTGATTATTAAGGCCTCATGTTAAACCTCTTAGGCCCTAAGCCCTAAAACCGTCTACTCAACCCCCTGCCCACACGCCACAGGAGCAGCAAGCCGTCGGAATGCAGCCTGAGGTTTCGTAGGTGGTAGATAAACGAGAAACCAGGAACACACAGCCGTAGAGTGTACCGTCGGTCTTTGCCGAGGCTGCTAGTAATGTGCGTTCTGTGAACACAGACGAATTGCCACAAGCGCTGAAAATAACGTGATTCACTTACCAAGGCTGTATCGTCACCATAGGAGTTATGAACAACCATGTTTGAAACCGCGGACCAAGGCAGCTCATCACGCTTGGCCTTGCAAGTCTTACGGAGCATTCGCCTGCACGAGCTGCGAGCCGACACTGTGAGCTTCAACAGCGCCATGGGAGCATGCGGAGGGGATGGCAATTGGCAGATGGCCGAGCTTTGGAATGAAGAATCTTAATGCAGAGACATGCGCTAGGTTCCTCTTGCATGCCGAAATCGAAGCATTCAGTCACTCACTCCCTCCCTCACCCACTCACTCACTGACACACTCTCACTCTCACACACACACCTGCGCGCACGCATCTATATATAAATGTCTGTATATATATATATATATATATATATGTGTGTGTTTATTTATATATATATATATGTATATATATATATATATATATACACACACATATTTTTACATACGCAGGAAAACACACACACACACACATATATATATATATATATATATATATACACATGTATATATGTATACGTGTGTGTGATATATGAATTAACACATGCATACACATAAACACACACACACACACACATGCACATACATACTTATAACATACAAACATACGTACACACACGCGCACGTATACATATACATATACATACATATATATATATATATATACACACACATGCACATATACAGCACCCTTACGCGGCGAACTCTTGACCTTGACAGCTTCTGGGCTCAGCAAGGCATGGCTACTGCGAAGCATGGCTTATTCGTTGCTGCAGCACAGCGCAATCAGCTTTGGCACTGCCATCGACAGCTGCGGTCGATTTGGGGTGTGGCATTCTGCACTTCAGCTTGGCGCACGAGCTTTGAGGCTGAGATGGGGAGACCCAATTAATAAGTAGTATTTCATAGAGTTAGGGGTTAGGGTGTAGGGTTTAGGCCTTTAGCGGTCTAGGGTTTTCTGTGATTCTTCGGTCATCTGCATGGGCTGCGCTGGTCTGAAGACTGCAAGTCGCAAACCGGAGATGAAGCCAAGACATGTAGGGCAATATAGAAGCCCATGTTTTACTAGTACCACTATTAGTCCTTATAGGGTTCCTTATTGTATCTGTAGTATACAGGGCCCCGAAACCCTATTCTAATTAGTAAGGCTCCTCTATATATATATATATATATATATGTATGTATATATATATATATATGTATATATATATATATATATTTATATATATATATATATATTTATTTATATATATTTTTATATATATATATATATATCACGCTTTTTCTCGTGCCTGCATCGTTGAAACTCGTTTTTGCCACTGTGCTGCCGTGCTTGAACATGCAGGTCTGCATTATTGGATGTCGTTGGCTGCAGCAGCGCCATCAAAGCCTGTTCACGTGGCTCCTTGTCACTGTACTTGGAGGTTCATGGGTAGTTATAAGTGGGGCTTATAAGTCCCCCAATATGCATTACAAGTATACTTACCTTACCTAAAACCCACCTATAACTAACCATGAACCTTCAAGTAGTCACGGTTCGTTTTGGCGCCGGATGAGCAATTGTCATTTTGTCCGCTTATTGGGGGCTTATAAGTAGTGAAGCCATACGGCCATTTCGCACAGTACTGGGAGCAGTGATGCACGGGAATTCCACTCAGCGGCTTCACCAGCCCTGGAAGAGTCTCGCGGCTGTTGCTAGGACGGCGACGACGGCGACATTATAGTAGTGATCGCAGTAGTAGTAGTAGTAGTAGTAGTAGTAGTAGTAGTAGTAGTAGTGGTAGTGGTAGTGGTAGTGGTAGTGGTAGTGGTAGTGGTAGTGGTAGTGGTAGTAGTAGTAGTAGTAGTAGTAGCAGCAGCAGCAGTAGCAGTAGCAGTAGCAGTAGCAGTAGCACAGTAGTAGTAGCAGCAGCAGCAGCAGCAGTAGTAGTAGTAGTACTAGTAGTCGTAGTTGTAGTCGTAGTGGTAGTGGTAGTGGTAGTCGTAGTGGTAGTCGTAGTGGTAGTCGTAGTGGTAGTGGTAGTGGTAGTAGCAGTAGTGGTAGTAGCAGTAGTCGTCGTAGTAGTAGTCGTCGTAGTAGTAGTAGTAGTAGCAGTGGTGGTAGTAGTAGAAGCAGAAGCAGTGTAGCAGTAGCAGCAGTAATAGTAGTAATAGTAGTAGTAGTAGTAGTAGTAGTAGTAGTAGTAGTAGTAGTAGCAGTAGTAGTAGCAGTAGCAGTAGCAGTAGCAGTAGCAGTAGCACAGTAGTCGTAGCAGCAGCAGTAGTAGTAGTACTACTACTACTACTACTGCTACTACTACTACTACTACCACTACCACTACTACCACTACTACTACTACTACTACTACTACTACTACTACTACTACTACTACTACCACTGAGGCTACTTCTACTTCCACTGCAATGAGCTGTTGGTTTATAGCAGCTGTCACTGATTGCTCCCAGGTCAACAGTGGGCTCATGCCATCCTCCAGCTCAGTGCAGCTCCTGCTTGGCGTGTGGCGGCCTCGCGAATCAGGGCTTTGGTTTGTTTAAGTAGCCATAAACTCCTGAGGGCCGGACCGACTACTTCTCCATGACAAGATGTAAGGTTCTGTCTCGACTTCTTGCGCGAGATTTTCTTGCTATCTGGGAGCAGTAGGGTTTGCATGAGTCTTCATCCTCCAGCAGTGACATTTGGCCCGACTCTGGCACTGAGAGTATGACATGCGTGCAACAATTTCTGGGTGGTAGACCAATACCCGAGCTATCGAGTCTTCAAGCACCGGACCTAGACATGCATGTTTGCCGAAGGCAGGGTTCGCGTTTTTTTACAGACTGGGTTGGCGCAGCTTGCATAGAATGAACACTGTCGAGCTTGGTAACCTGGCATGAGAACGGTTGATGATATAAATCCTGCAATACACATAATAAGGAATATGCCACAATTCCCATAGTTTAGGGTCCTTAAGATCATGCAGGATTTATATCATCAACAGTATTCTTTTCAACAAGACGGAGCAGAGAAGATTCTGACCCGAATGCCTCGGCCCCGGCTCCAAGCATGGCCCTTGCAGGTTGTGCCCAACGAGGTGGTCCTCAGTGGAGCCATTGACAGCTGTGGGCAAGGTGCTCTTCCGTGGGCAGGTTCGTATCTAGCTTCTATGAACAAGCAGCTTCGGATAATTTGTAAAAGGGATGGCATGTGCAGTCGAAATGACAAGTGGAACTGAGATCCTATGCGAGTTTCCGAAAATTAGGGGTACCGTGTTTTGGATCCTTAAAATGAGGATCCTACTATTTAGGGTACTATATTAGGGTCCCCTATTGACGGAAACCCCCATATCGTTCCCTTTTGTGAGCATGTGCACCTGGCGCCGGCAGCTGCCAGCAGTGCTAGCTGCATCAAGAGAGTGGGTGGCTGTTTCGTGACGCAGTGCTGGTAACATCGGTTTCCTAGATTAGTTGTTGGACTTCAGATTCTCAGGCTGGGGAGGCGGCATCAGGCAGCTTGTATCTCAAGTGCGGCCTGAACGTTGCCCTGCTGTGCAAGTCTCAAGCCAAACACCCCATTTTGCGAGGCCTGTCATGGCCCTCTGCTTTGCGCATGCTCTCGCAACCGACGCCTGGCAGGTGGTATGTAGGTCCTGAGTTGCCTTTTTTCTTCGGTCGAGTTTAGGTTTGCATGGGGTTTGTGTCAGGTCATGCTTATGTGTACACACATGTGTATATATATATATGTATATATATATATATGTACGAGCTGAGGTGAGAGTGCTTCAGGAATTTTGGGGTCGCTGAAATGGTATCTTTTCCGTTGTCCTTGCAAGTATGGATTTGGAATTTAGGTTTGAGGGCTAGTGGTGACTTGTGCTGTGCCGGAAGGTGGGTGCTGTTCCTGCTAACTGGTGATCGTCGTTAATGACGTTCTTGTTGCCTGAGACTGTTACTTTCGCCACGGTGTTCGTCATCGTTGTCCCTTCGTTGTTTTTGGCGATTTCGTTTCCATCGTTGTAGTGTTGCAGCTATCAGGGAGAGTCTTGTGGCGGTTGTCTGTGTCTCCATTCCGAGCATAACCGCGCTCGCTCTACACTTTGTTAACCAACTCGCCCCAAAACCGATGTCACTGCCACACCAGTTCATGCACCATCTTCTGGCATGACTAAGGGCGGCAACGAAAGACAGCATCTGCCACAATGCTGCCCTGGATGCGCTGCACGCGAGCGGGCGCTGGCTCGACGGAGTTCAGAGCTTAACTTGCCTTCGTGTACATAAAGCCCAAGAGAATATTAAACATACTTTTTGTATTATGGTTCTAAGGGGGGGGTATGGGCTTAGGACTTAGAGTCCTGCAGTTTTGCATTTACAGGAGGGTTTATCCAGCGAGCCGAATGCCCCTTAGTGAGCCTTCGTCAAGAATGTACCTTATGTAGTTTCTTAATTGCCTCAGATTGGCGGCGCTGAGTAGTGCCCTTCAGCTCATTTCTGTGTCCTTGCGCTTGCAGGGGCCAGGGATGCAGAAGGGTTTAGAGTGTTTGACGTGCGAAAACTCGCGGTATCGAAGTGGCAGTGATCTCAGTCCGAGATTTAGGAGTGGTTCCCTAGACCTTAAACCGATTCCGGACTTAGCGCCTGAAGCCATGCCTGCCTCGTGCGAGTGTGTGAGTCGAAACAGATTCCGCCTATTTAGGGATCCGTAACTTAAACCGTTCCGGACGAACATGCCCGAGCCTACCTCAACATCCGATAGGAGAGCGTGTAGCCCATTTCGGAGTGCACACCTAGAAGAGCCAACAAAATGAGCTCCAAGTCTTCAGCCCAGAAGGTGTGACAGAGCTGTTACTTATACTATATCGGGGGCTCCTTATTACAATTATGGTACAATGGGCCCCACAACCCTAGTCCGATTATTAAGGCCTCTATAGTACTCAAAGATTGCTTCTTTTTTTCGCATGCGGTCCTTACACCCCAGGAGTTGCTTTCGGCACCACAGCTGCCACGGTACAGCAACCGTGGAAAGTCCTCCCTCTCCCAACTCCGCACGATGCGTTGCCGGCGCTGCCAAGCGACATCAGGGCCGCTGAAGGGTTTTAGCAGGGGTGATGTAATGGTCACCGTTTTCGAGCAGCCGTTGCATTCACAGACGCTCTGCTGCTGCTGCTGCTGCTGCTGCTGCTGCTGTTGCACTGCATTGCGAGAAAGTTGTTGAGGCCACTACCAACCCTTAATATTACAAGAGCGAGGCAATCCGAGGCGTTTGAAAATGCTAACACCCCAGAACACGAAGTCCCTAAACCCCGAGGTGAAGCTGCTGCAGAAGATGAGGCAGAAAGCTTTGAAGGCCGTATGTTCATCATTATGACTGCTATTGTGGCCAGTGTTTGTACTATTATCGTTCCTCTTCTCATTACCATTATTACTATCTTGATGCTGATCATATTTTCTTAGCACCACTATCATGATGATGAACCTGTTCTTGTCCTTTTTCTAACTACCATTATTCGCAGTAGTCCTAATTTTACTATTGGTATTCATGGCTTGTGCCTTTATTAGTAGTATTGCCAGTAGTAATCTTATTGCTACTTGCAACACATTTTTACTAACAAAGCTGATATTTCCTCATGCTTAAATTACTGCCTTCCTTGTTATTACTGGCGATGCTCTTAGTTATTGCTATCCCTGGTCTCTGCTTTTTTGCATACGAAGACAAAGGGACGCTAAGGTCTAGGGACGCTTCGGGTTTTTTTTTTCTGGCTGTGCCAGTCTTCTCGAGTTTGAAAGTGTAGGGCTCTGGGGTACCTGGGTTTTACAGGGTTTGGGGCTATACATAGGGTATAGGTTATCGGATTCCTCAGACCCTGCGGATAAGAGGCAGGGCAACTGTTTTCCCCCTGCATGTGTTGATGAACTATGAGGCTGTCTAAAACTGCTAATGCTATCATACTGTGTACCTAAGTATACTAACTATCGTACTGTATCAGACAGCCAACATGTCAGTATTAAGGCTCGTGTATTCGATTCAGATCTCTTCAACTGGCAGCGTTGCTGTGCACCAGGTAGCTCAAGAGCACTTACTCGTCATAACAATCCTTGAATAAACCAACGTAGTGTCTTTCTAACACTCCTTATAGTGACCTTCACAACAACCCTGACCGTATTCTTATAGTAACCCTTATGCTAAACTTGAACGTACCCTCGCAGTCGCCGTTGCAGTTGCAGTGCGATTTTATACATGTGCCAGCCTCAAACTCCTTCCCGAGTTCGGAACGGTCCTTCAGTTGTGGTTGCCCTACACACTTTAGGGATTTGAGGGGTTGGAGGGTAAGGGCTAGGGCTCTTTTCGCCATTTGGTTGTTTTCAGCCATTGAAACCTCCCTGAAGGCTGACGATCTTGCAGCAAATTCCGCTGCGGGAACCCTAAACCCCAGGGTTTGGGGTTGAGGGTTTCACCGAAACCCTAAGCCCCGAATGCAGAGGCTTCTTTCGTGACCTGCAACTCCATGGTGGCAGCCCTTGCAAGGGGAAGTTGGCGAAGAGCTCTGAGCCGCTGAAGTTGCACTACAGTAGAAGCCTATAGGGGTTTAGGGTTTAGGGGCCGTTCCCCGGCAAGACTTCAAGAGGCCTGGATGCAAAAAAGGATTTAGGGGCGAAAGTTTGAAACCCAGTAGCTTCAATCCTTAAGAGTAGTATATAGGGAATCCCAGCACTAATTTGGCCTGAATCTGAATTCCAACTTTATGGAGTTTACTGTAAACCCTACAATGCCGGGGGCGCCGTGCTGTTCTTGGGACGTAAACAGGGACCTTTATTTGGAGACCTAAGGTTTGGGGGAATGGGGTGGAGGGTTTGGGAGTAAATGAGTTGAGGTTTCAGCGAACCCGGGCTCCTTGTAAGCCTTCGAAGCAAACCCTGAGGCGTGTTTGGGTGTGGACGTTAGTCCACGGTGGCTGCAGTCCAAGCTTTGTAAGATTGCATGGTTTGTGGGTTTTCCCATATCGCTTTTAGGGTTGTCCTGGGTGCCTCAAAGGTGCTCCTGGTATGGTTCTCATCTTGTTGCTTGCGAGCCTTGTTAATAGATCATGGGACTTAGCAACTAGGGTTATAGGTTGGATAACTACAGTTGAATAGAGCAATTTATATATAGCTTATAACCTTACTTACAAAGTCCCATGGTCCTCCAAGTCTGGCGTCATGTTTACAGGCTTCGGAGTCACTTCTTGTGGCGCCATGCTAGCTGCATGCCTTCCACAAGTAGAGTAACTAGTAGGCTTACCCCATACTTTCTTGGGATGCCGTAGCCCAGGACACCGCATAAAGACTGCGGGGAGTGATGTTTCCATGAACCCAGGCATCGACGGGACCTGCTTCATGTTCATGTGTTTCATTCGTTCAGCGTGAACTAAAAGACTTCTTCTACGTCCTGTCTGAATAACATCAGTCTCTAACACCTCACCGTCACTATGGTCGATCTTGGAATCCCCAAAACGTTGCCTGCAAATCAGTTGTCCACCGTAGATTGCGGATCTAGCTCCCGATAATCCTGCCACGAAGGCTAAGCCCACTTTAACAACCCTACCCCTCTGCCCTTAAACCCAAGCAATTTTAACCCCTAAATCCAGTACCCATAGGCTCCATAGTAAGTAGTTCCTTTTCGGGATTACCTTATAGGGTTCTAAATATGAACCTCAAAAAGGAACCACCATGGAGCCTCCACTTTACAGATCCCTTATACCAGCTCTTATAGACCCCTTTAAAAGGAGCCCTTCGAAGGGAACATTGAGGCCCCTATATTACTTGAGAGCCCCGAGCAGGTGAAGCATCGCAAGTGACCGCGGACCGACGGGACGTGACTACAGGCAGCCTGCTCGTTGCAGCCTGCGAGAGACCTGGCCGATAATGGACTACGAGTTTGGGGTGTACTATAGGGGCTTAATTAGTTACCAATACTTTTTTTTTTTTTGGGGGGGGGGTCCTTATTACAAGTATGGTATAATGGGCTCCAGAACCCTATTCTACTTATGAAGGCCCCTATATGAGGGGGTTTGGTCTTCGTTGATTCCGGGCTCCAGGATTCCTGGACTCGAGGCTCGTGGCTTATACAGGCTTGTTTCGTCACTACGTTTAGGGTTTAGGGTTTAGGGTTTTAGGTCACTTTTGAAGGCTCTGGGTTGAGTGCTAACTTCTCCTGCGTGTTTTCTACTGACATCTTCCGCACTGTCGTGGGAGTTCGCCTGGCGCCTCTTGAAATGAGACCATGCCTGAGATCGTTCCTGTGGAAAGTTGATCCGCGAAATAGAAGACCCATGGGCTCTAGGAGTTGAGTTTTCAGGGTTCCGGAGTGGAGGTTGGGTGATGGTCGGGAAGCTCAGCTTCAAGTCTGCGTAGGCTGGCAGACATGACAAGAACTGTTCAAAAGACGGGAGCAGGAGAGGCCACCATGCTGGGCCGGTGGCTGAGCTGTTTCGTGAGCTGGCAGCGAAGACTGAAAGCATCCTTGCGATGTGTAAAAGAGACCTCATGTTCCGTGTGCACATGCGACTGAAGGGGGGATCGGAGAGAGGTTCTTGGAGTACTACTAGATACCATTAGTTGGGGTAGGAGGGAGCCATCCGGGTCTTCAGCGATGGTTTTCTCTTCGTTACGGCTGGGCCGCTGCACTGTGAGCTTCCAAGTCTCCAAGTCGCTGCCAGCTCGGACATGACATGCCCCTGTTCGTGCACTTTCTTCTAGGGACCCAAGGACTCATATATTAAGGCTTTTGGGCCCAAAGACCATACTACATAAGGCTTTTGGGCTATTTTGATCCCAGGGTTCAGGCATAGCATAGTTTTAGTTGCTATGCGTGTGGGAGGACGCAATATGATAAAGTACATGGTCATCTGTACATCCGTCTACTTGTGTTGTTAAGATATACTACATCTATCCTGTTCTGTTGCGCCGATAATATGTCATGTAGCCGCGTAGTTACAGACGTTTCTAACATGTTACAGTTACAGTATTGGTTCCTTTGCAAGTTGTAGGGCCCATAATAATTGAAAGAGGGTTTTGGGTACCTTAAGCCGGTCCCTATGTATTTTACTGTAATATTCCCTAAATTGAAGGCTCTCTCTGAGTCTAGGATTGATTCCAGAGTTTGGGTGTAGGAGCGTAGGGCTTAGGGAGGATGCGACCGGGATAGAAAGATATTGCCTGAGTAGAGTGTGGCACACCCGGACATGCTCGAGCAGTCACATGGGTAGTTGTCAAAATTAGGGTCCCTTTTAGGGGTACCCTAAATAGTAGGTGCCGTATTATAATAAGGACCCCAAAAGGGACCCTAATTTTGACAGCCACCCATATGACAATCTTCCGGGGAGCAGAATTCAGACAAGAAGTGGAAAGGCGACATCCCCTCAAAGAGTGCCTAAGTCTGACAGGATCCCACAATTTCGTTCCCGAGACGAAAACGTGCCTAGGCCTAGGCGTTCCAGAACATGGGGTATAGTTTCTGAATCAGAAGCACCCCTATATCTGAATCGATGTCTTCGTGCGTTTAAAGAACCCGCGACATACGACCCTGGCACTGCAGTAGCATGAATCTCTCATGGGCCCCGGTGAAAACCAGACGAAACTCCTGAAGCTCTATAGAAACGTACCCTTGAACCTTGAACCCTGAGTTTTAGAGAATTAGGGGTACCTTACTTTGGGGGCCGTCTACGTAATAAGGATTCTAATTATTACTTGGGGCTATATATTAGGGTCCGGTCTTGCCGGAAACCTTCAGTTGGGGTTATGCGATAAGCAGCTCCAAACCCTGGCCGCCAAATCGCCATCCCTGACTTTCGACATCTCAGTTGCGAAGCCCCAAACCTGAACCCGACTTCGATGTTCATGGGTACTTATAAGTGTGGTTACTAGTAGGGTAACTATAGTTATAACTTATAACCCATATTAGGGGACTTATAACCCCACTTTCCCTCAACCCTAAACCTGAAACCCTGTCCGAGTTGTGAGAGCGTAAACCCTAAACCTCAACCCTACTTGGAGGTTCAATGAACCTCCACATACATTTACACCAAAACCCTAAATTGTAAACCTCAACCCTACATGTCAGCAGCCATCAGCTTTTCGCCGAAGATGACAGCTCAAGGGGATGCTCCGGGTCCCGTCGAATAAAGATGGCGGCACTGTGAGTGTGGCGTGGCTGGCGATGGGTTGCTAGGGTTTTAGGGTTGCCGCTAAGGGTTCACGGGTTTAGGGCTCGGGGTTTTAGGGTTTTGGGGGCTTGGGCTTTGGGGGTTGAGGCGTCGTAGGGATGATTGGAGTTCAGAGCTTTAGTGTAGTGTTTGTACTGCTATCGTTTGTAATAGTTCATTAACCAGGCTTGTGATTGAGGGTTGCGGGTGTTTGGTCTGTTGAGGGTGCAAGCGACTCGACTTCAGCGCGCCAGAGGAACAGGGCTTTGGGCGCTTTAGTTGTTTTTCTGGCTGGTTAGTGGCAGTTGTTATCATTTTGATGCGTGTCTCCATGGGGTAGAGTGTTGGGAGATGGTCGTGTTTTCATAGCTCTTCAGAAAACTCACCAAGAGGCGTCTTGAACGAAACAGAGATCAGGGTTAAAGGCACCGGTAAAATGTAAAATGTTGGCGGGTCGGAATATCTCCTGAATACCTTTTTATAGATAATTACTTCAGACTGTACTACACCTTCAAACTCGCATTCTTACATATGCGCAAACTGTTTTAAGGCCCCTTCATTAGGCCCTGCATGCATGTGCCTTATCAAATGTCGCGGCAAGACTCGATGCGGCCAAGGTATCGGTAGCATGGCCGACATTCGTCACCGAGACGCGTTCCGTGGCAGCAAATACTTACAGTAGAGTAGGATTGAACAGGAGTTTTGGGGTAGAATGCAATACGTATGACGGTTAGAAGATGTTTCAACTAATAGTATTGCTATATATAGTTTTAGTCTAAGGGCCTAGATCCTAAACCCTATCTAGCATTTCGAGAGCTTGGGTAAGGTACAGGTTCGGCGGGCATGGTGTTGTTGCTAAAGGGGGTGGACGTTGTAAACTGTGCTAGATAAGGTGATTTGTGTTGAGCTTTCAATACAGCCCATGTTGCTACTGAATTGCCGTCGTATCGCCGATTGTTCCTCATGCAGTTTACTATAGGGGTCGGAATAGAGGATACTATCCCCGTAGCGTTGTTCTAGTTATCAAAGCCTCCATACTAAACCCTTATAGCAGCACTATACCCCCGATTGAGTTGCTGTAACCCCTTTAGTAGCTACTAAGGAGAACCCGAACAGGAGAAGACCCGGCACCAAGGTCTCACTTCCAACTTTGACTCTGGAAGGAAGCAGAAGCGAAGGAGGCGGCGAGGAGGGTTTGTGGATTTTGTTTGTCGATAGTTACAGTATGCTGGTAGAAAGCTTCATCTACCCAAAACCCCGAATCCCAAACCTCAAGCCCTAACCCTACGGAACCTCGCCTGGCTTGTCCGAGCTGTGAGAGCATATAAACCCCAAACCCTAACCCCTAAACCCCTAAACGTCAGCCCTGACCGAATTTGAGGGAATCTCTGAGTTTTGGCTCTTCTTTCGCTTGGGGAAACGGTCCGCGAAAAAAATACGGGGTAAGAAGGGCTACGGCTCTATGGTTTGGCAGGTTTGATGTGGGGTTAGGGTGGATATCAAGTCTTGAATGGAGGTGATGCGGTTTGGTGTGGGACGCTTGGGCCCGCTTTGGGTCACCATTCTTCAGGCAGTAGCTAGCTAAAAATGCAGAATAGTTCAGGATTTTCTCTGGGCTCGGTGCTTTTGGTGAACCAAACGAAATCGTTCGGTAGCCTGCAGAGATTTTAATTCGACGGTCGTTTTAGTGGCTTTGTCAGCGGTCCGTGCTGCAGTCCCTGCTTCAAAGGAACATCGCCCAAATTCCCACCACGACATACAACACGAGGCTCAGGTATTTTCCATAGTAGCTCCTTAAACTACAGTCTGGTCCCCAACATATACTACTGCACTAACACAACATGTCAAAAATGCATAGACACTGGCACACGGCCTTTTCGACGTCTTGGACCAACTGAGGTAGGTTCAAGCCTTTCTTCTGATTGTCCCCATTGGGCGCTAATTTCCTCAACCTCGAAATTTTGTTCGACCAGGACTATACGACCATACGGTTGAGGGTTCAGGGTTTACGTTCACTAGAAGCATGGCATATTAGACGAAGGCGGCCGCCAACCCGGGTCCTGCGAAAGCAGCGCCGTACATACTGTCTCAGAGCTTGCTGGCTCAGCACAGGCATTAAGAGTTTACCTGAACACTATATAAAACCTAGTCTTATGTAAGTACTTAAGAGAGTAGTATACGGGCTTCAATAATTTCCCACGCTTTTTCGGTGGTTCCTTTAACATTATAGTATCATGGGCCCCAGAGCCTTTTTCTAATGACTAAGGCCCCTATGTTAAAATAGGTTATTCGCGGCTACTGCAGGCTTTAGAGACCGTGAGCCTCAGGAGGTCTCGCATTCCACACAAAACTGTGAAGCCCAAGGCCCTGCCCCGCGACTGTACCCCAAAACTAGGGATCTATAGTAAATGATAGGGTTTCCTTATTATGGTAACTGAATTCAAGTCAAGAACCCAGGAAAGCTTTGTCCAAGCTACAGCCACACCTTAGAACCTAAACCCAAAGGTTTAGAGTTGAGACTTCTGAGAAGCTCCAACAATGTATGACATGTGAAGGTCACGGTCGGCCAGCAGCGATCTAGCCGTCGGCCTTACAGATCGCGCCATTCTCAAAAGATCACAGCTCTGTTCGACATTTTTGCATCAGGATCCACCATGTCAGAAAATGGTTCCGAAACCTAAGATGAGAGAATCCTGCAACGCAGATTCAAACCCAAGCAATCGAGCCAAGGAGGCTGCCGTGACGGGACCTGCCTACCGCCATGGATGAGAATCAAGCGCTTCTGGTGCCTATTTGCTCCCGGGCCTCAGCAGAGAAAAAGTGTTTTCTCAGTTCGGTGAAGCCAGAGATGTATGAGGGATGCTTGCGTGAAAGGCTGCAGCTTCCGCAACGAAAACCTGACTTTGCGGGGTCTGTTGTGGGTGAATATCGTCCAGGTTACATTCCTGTGCCTGAGTCCTGTCATTGCAACTTTTGGATTGGACCAATGTAGGAACCTGGTTAAGAAACCCTGGCCCTATCACCCCCAAAGAATAGGATTCACATAAGGAACCCTAATAAAAGCCCAAGGTTTCTTAATCAGGTTCCCACCGTATTACAGTACCCTTATAAGGGCCCTTATAGTAACCCTTATAGACCCCTTTAAAGGAACCCTAATAGAAGCCCAAGGTTTCTTCATCAGGTTCCCACCGTATTACAGTACCCTTATAAGGGCCCTTATAGATCTCTTATAGTAACCCTAGACCCCTTTAATTTAAAGGAACCCTAATAGAAGCCCAAGGTTTCTTAATCGGGTTCCTACATTAGCCAGTGTGGAAATCAGACCGCGGTTCTTCAATGACCTGTTTCGGTTTAAAGGGAACTCCGGAAAGTTGGAATATGGTTTCAGGGTAGGATACCCTATAATCTACCATAAAGGGTTTAGGATGATCATCTTCCAACTTTCTGGCTTTTGCTGTAGGGTTTAGGCTTTTGAAAAGCGGGGGAAAGGGGCCTGTTGCTGTAACCGGGCTGCTGGACAACGAGGCCTGCTGCAAAAAGGGTTGTCAAAAGCCTCAACAGTTACCAATGCTGCGTATTCCTCAGGGCTCCTTATTTCCTTATATATTACACCTATACTAGGACAGAGCCCCAAAACGTCGCACATGCCTATTCCAATTTGTCAGGCCCCTAGACCAGACCCGTGAGCCTTGCTATAGCCCTAATCACCACCTTTATTATAGTAGACCTTTGAAAGAGCCTTTATTGGGTGACCACCCGGTTGCTTTAGATTTGTAGTCTCATGCGGCGTGGAAGTTGGCGTAGCTCGGCAGCCCTTGGTTGCGTTCCAAGCTGGATCGGGTTTCCTAAACCACTGCTGCTTCCTTGAAGGAAACCTAAGAGGCCAAAATCCAAACCCTTGCCAGTGCCAGAGAGTGCAGCTTAGGATTTAGGGTTGAGAGGTTTTTTGGTGGGTGGCAGACCCTAGACTTGGACCCTATAGACCCTAAACTTGACTTTCTGACAGCCGGCCCCCGAAGTCCCGAGACCGAAAACCCATCCAAATATAGGGGCTTTAATCTATGACGCTGCACATGCTCTTACACATTATATAGGGGGTCATAGCGGGGAAGTGTTGCTGATTTTCCCTGTCCCCCAATCCAGGTTATTGTTGTCTTGATCGTGGCAGGAATCTTGGCTGAACATGACATAAAATCACATTGACATGTCTGGGGAGGGGTTCTGAACCCAAAGCATTTACATCGGCTTTGGACGGCTGTTGGCCTCCCCGCTACAACTCTTGGTTCTGTTCCTGGCTGGTGTGTACAGATGCAGGGCCCCGCAAGTCAGGGTTTCTTTCGGACATTGTGACAGGTATCAGAATAGGATCTAGGGGCAAATATGGATGCCTGACCAAGTAACCCAAAAGGGTCTGCTCCACAGATTGACCCCGACACTGAAGTGTCGAGGTTCACCCAATAGACCCTATTCCATGGGTACAGTTTTCGTTCTACTTGTAACATGGACAACCCCACAGAAGTCTCATGCTCTTATGTGGGGCATTTCCACAGGCTCCAACTTGGTTGTACATGAGCAGTTGTAAGTGGAGTTATAAGTAGGTAACTGTACTTAAGAACCATATTAGGGGACTTATAACCCGACTCCTAACTACCCAGGAACCTCCAAGTTTTCCCACGTTACGGAAACTTTTTCTGTGGATCGATTGCCAGTTGTGAGAAGAAGGTCCTGCCAAATTAGGGTTTAGGGTTTGGTGTGATATGGGGGCCTGCAGAACTACCAATAGCGTTCGCCCCGGGTTTCGGTAGAACTTTAAGTTTACAATTCACAAAGACAAACCCAAACCCATGACTCAAGCCCTTGTACTCTGTTAGAACAACCCCTGTAGTGACTTCTTACAGTAGCCGTAGAGCCCCTAGTGGCTCTTATAAGAACCCTTACAAGCCCTGTTCTCATAACTATGGCCGCTGTCGCAGTCACTTGGCTCCTCAGAACGGTTCCCAAGCACCCAAGTTTAGTCCGGACCTCCACTCCGCAGTGCGCGTTTCGGGTTTGGGGCGTAGGTTCTCTTTGAGGTTCGAGGTGTTATAAGTTCTTCATAAGGCTTTCGCGTAGAAGGCTTAGGGGTATAGGGTCGGAGCCAAGGAAGCATCTACAATGTGATTCTCACCAGGTGCGAGGGTTTTCCTAAGCCCTCAATTTTGGCCAGTATCTCTCAGTGCGGGAGTTGCGAGTTAAGTTCCTAAGCAGTACGGTCTAGCGATGTCTAGCGGCTAGCGATCGAAATCCTGAACTGTAAACTTCCACGGTTAGTTTTAGGCTTGGTTCGTTTCAAACACATCTCGCCGCTCGTCGCAATTTGTCGAGCCCAAGCATGTCCAAGCCCTAGTATTTGGGTTTTGGGGTTGACTGTTTCGAGAAACGGTGGGAGGTTTACAGTCAGGCAGCAGGATAGAGACGAATTTGTATTGCAGGTTAAGAAAGACCAGATGATCGGCCATCAAGCTAATTTCTGAGTTCGGTAGTCTACTCTGCTTGCTCCAAGCGTCGTCCATCACAGTTGCCCTAATGCGCCTTAGCTTCAGCCAAGACCAGATCTCCCCTCAATGAAATGGTTCGAACACTGGAAAATCGAGGTCTTGTTGAGGAAATGCAGTGGAATTTACAAAATGGGGAACTCTACTATACGAAATAAGAGGAATTCGAACTACAACACAGTTCCTTAGCAAGTCAGAAAAGCAGGCAGCGAGTCGAGTCGTGTAGTGTAGTTGACTGCTTGCGACACTCCTCGTGTCTACGCAGGAGACCTCAGTCCCCTAAACCCTAAACCGAGTCCATGTACAGTAGCGGCTGAAACCATCAAAAGCCCGCTCCTCCTGTGCGAAAGGCTCGTTTGGTTGGATCACCAACGGAATTCAGCGCCTTTGACGAGAACTAGCTTCGTTTAATTATGTGGACCTGGGGAGGTGTATGGCTTCCTGTCTTTGCGCGGAATTTTGCGTCGGAGCAATGGCAAGAATGTTTGACTCGCTCCTAGCCTAGGGGTTCATGTTCCATTTGGCGAAGATGTCGGCCCTGTTTTTGTTGACGCCCGCGGCGCGGTGGTGAACACAACATCGAGATGAGGGCTCACAAATCCTAGCATGCTCATGCTGATGCAGCTGCTGACAGCCTGCATGGATAAACAGGTCAGAACATGTGCAGATGACCGTCGTCATCAGGCTCCTATATATTTGGCACTATCATTGGCCACAGAAGGTACAACGTGTCACGCAACATGTCGTGTCTCGTTCATACTCATCAACCCCATTGGCCATGAGATCGTCTTATCTGTTACTGGGACTAGGAGCCACGGAAACGAGCCGGAAAGCTCTTGATTTCTTCCCAGCCCATCATGGCAGAATGCAGTGAGGTGCTGGAATTAGCGAGCCTGCAAGCGATGGTGATCACCAACCGGATCAGAACATCGATTGGGGCCTTGAAAACACTCGAGGCCTGGGTTTAGATGTCCTTTGCAGTCAGACGGGTGCTTCTCTAAGTACGGGTCCCACTTAGTGTTCTTCGTATGGGGGTGCCGTTTCATGTTTGGGACCTAGAAGGGGCCCTATTCAGAGCACTACCCAGGGAAGCAACTTTCTAGTCAGGTTGAGAAGGCAAATGGGGGGGCTTCGCAGGGACAATTGGGAATCCACGTCCATTGCCAACGTAGCATGGTATGCGAAGTAAAACTTGGTCCACTCGGCTCAGCGATCCCTGCATCTTCGTGGTCCTCTTCCGGTTTGGGGTTTAGGGGAAAGTGGCGGGGAATCGCGTGGACTTCGTAGGGGCTTACGTCTGTGTCGAAGTGCTGGACTTCTTTTTGGCGATTGCCTTCTCGCTGTTCTGTTTTCCCGGGACTCCCCAAGAGTTCCCAGGGTTTAGGGCCAGGTTTGGGTTGAGGCCTTAATTAGGGTTTCTGCAGCCCCTGCTCTCAAAAGGGCTCAGGGTTTCGGGAGCTCAGTCAGCTTTGAAGGTAATGCGCAGTAACTGCGGGTGCTGATTAGGTTACCGTAAGCCGTAAACCCTTTTGGGGCACATATAACCATCCAAAAACCAAAAGGTTAACCCTAAAGCCAGAACCTTGTGGGGACCACTCGACACGAGTGTCGTCCTTGGCGATGGCCCTGCTGCCAGGCAATGATCCAGCTCCAAGAGATCGGCGGCTGAGCGGCCTTAGAATCCTAAAATCTCCACAGTGGTGCGAGTGTGTTAGTCGAGAAACTCCAAAGCCCCTGAATTCAGGGATACCACGGAAATGGAGCCCCCGTAAAAGAAGGTTCAAAGAGCCCTACTCCTCAGAAGCCCGTATAGATGCTTTTTTGGGATTAGAGTTAAGGGCCCGCAGGTTTGAGGGATGAGGGGGCTTCCGGACTTTTGAGGGTTTAGGGGGTTCAAAACAGTCGAAGTTGAGGAAGAGAGGAGCGATTTAGGACCTGTTGCCAAGGATTTGCCGAGAGCAACTTTCATCAAATCGCACCTGCGCTTCGTCGGACCGTCTTTGAAGATCTTCAGGGCCTTGCCTTTCCCTGAAACTCTAGCTACCTAAGTACTAAGTAGAGGGCTACTGGCTTACTATATCATGGTTGGGTCCCTGTGGCCCTCTGGGGTTTGTCATTAGCTATGCTGCTTCGATTGAAGAGTCGCAGGTAGAAACATTGCGTTTGTTAGCGTTTGTGGTTTCAGTAGTGTCATTGTTGGTGCTACTACGCTGAACAGGGTACTGCAGGGCCGACAGGGGGTCGATCGACGGCGAACCGAAAGGTGCCTCGCACAACCATTGCCCCACCGCTGCTATTTACAGTTGCTGATACATTTACCGCTGAGACTATATCTTGCTCCAGCAATTACTACGTCTACATTTGCACTGCTGCTGAAAATATGGCCAGGACAAACGATTTCCCCGACTACTGCTGCTACTACTTCTGGTGCGACTTCCACAACATCTGCCATCAGCTGGGTAGTGGTTGCTGGCATCGTTTACGACGATGGCCATTGATGTTGGTGAGATGCACGTTGATGCCGAAGATGCCGCTGTTGCTTTCGGTGCTGCTGTTGCGCTTCCTCCCTTAGGACGTTTTACCCCGGCCTTGACCAGGACCTACAAAGGCATCACGACCGTCGCCCTTGCAAAGCATGGCGTCATTTCAGTCGCCTCTTGTCTTTATAACACAAGGGTGCCGGGCTTGATTTTGAGCTCACTCTGGTAGAGAGGCACCAATGTAAGGGAAGGTCGCAGAAAGTTGGGCCACTTTGATGCAACAGCAAAAGTTTCAAGACTGCAACGACAACCTTCAGAATATTTTGCGGCAGCATAGCCCGATGATCGAGCATTAAACTTCCACCCAAACTCGGCCCTCTTCTCCGACCTGCACTGCATTCGTGCGGGCATGCTTGACGGGGGGCGGGGCGCGGGAAGGGGGTGCGGAAGAGTTCGGTCAAGGCTTCCGGTTTCGAGCAGATATAAGGTGAATATCCCCCTTTTAACGGAAGCAAATCAGCCTGTCGAACCGCTAGATTGTGGATGGTGTCGGTGTCGCATTCGTCGCTTTGCTGCTACCGTTCGTCTCGTGCTGATAGCGATACCCGTCGTCGTTGTCACCTTCTCTGCTACCAGTATTGCTCCTGTAACAGCACCTACTCGATCCCAGCCCTTCACCCGACCTAAAACACCCAACCAAAGTTGCTAAAACAAAGGCCCAACACCTGTAAAAGGCAGTTTTTCGAATTTCTTCTCACAGTAATGGCACCCCTTACGTATGGTAATTAACCCTTATGGTAGCCCTGAAAGTAGCCCTTCTGATACCCCTAAACTGTCCTGGTGCGGTTGAGGTCGACCCGCCGCATCAAGAAGTTTCACTCCTGGGCTTTCCACTGCTGCCGCAAGCTTGATGTTCTAGGACCTAGAGTAGGCCCCTATTCCCGAGTTCAGGTTCCCTTATAACCCCCTTTAAGCCGAAATGGGCAACCTTTAGCCTATTCCTAGGTTACTCTTAGGTCTAGTGTTGGTTCTGTTGAGATTTAGGTTTGGGTACGCATTGGGGGTTTAGGTTCTGTTAGTTTAGGTTCTGTTGGGCTTTAGGGTTTAGGGTTAGGGGTTTATTAGGGTTCAGGTTCGGCTGGGGTCTAGAGGAAATGCTCTGTTGGGGTTTAGGGTTTAGGGGTGTAGGGAGTGTAGGGTCTGTTGGTTTAGGTTCTGTGGGGTTCATTGTTTGGGTTTAGGGTTCAGGGATTTAGGGTGCGACACATCCAGGCGGGATTCTCACAAGCCTGTGCAAAAGGTTTTCAGATCAAGGGTTGTTTTGTCGCTACAAAGGGCAAGACTTTGTGGTACGATTGAATATACATATACATGTATATATATATATATATATACATATGTATATATACACTTAATATATACAAAGATACCTATTCATATATATATATAGATATACATAATTTGTACCAGGTTGCTGCTTTTTGCTTTTTTCCTTACGAGAATTCGCATCATTTTTGAGAATGAAACTTTGCCGAGCTGCTGTTTCTGTGCTCTTCTTGCCGTCACCCTAAGGGTCCATGTATCCATATGAGTATACTTTGACCCCAAAGTACCTATAGAGGGACTGCATTGGGGCCTATGTATATACGAAAGAGAACATGGACCCTCAGGGACATAAAACGATAATGCCCTGATGCGGAAACGCTAGCTTTCTGTAGAGTCGATTCGCAGCCGAAGCAGCCTTCAGTTTAGGGTTCAGGGTTTTGGGTTTTGGGTTTAGGGGTTTAGGGTTTTGGGGTTTTGGATTTAGGGTTTAGGGTTGAGGGTTAAGATTTTTGTAAACATCCGGAGCAGTCTTAGCGCGGGGTTTGAGATTTACTGTACAAAGCGCTTGAGGCAATGCTTCTGCACTTGGCTTCAACACTACTTACACCCGGAAGAGCTGGAAGGCTTCAACTCATTTCAGGTCTTCAGGTGTACCTCAACCCCGCACAACCGGCCTCCTGGAGGATGTAGGGAAGGAAGTCATACGGTTGATGATACAAATCCTGCATTACCCATAATAAGGAATATGTCATAATTCCCATAGTTTAGGGTCCTTAAGGTCATGCAGGATTTATATCATCAACAGTATCAAGGAACCTCAAAAGGTTAGTGTTTTACCGGGTTCTTGCAGGGCTAGAGGATGTTTCGCGGCCAATTCAGAGACCGTTCCTCAAGGACGTGGCGATGCGGGTGAAACATGAAACTGTCAAGATGTATAGAGGGGGTAGGCATAGTTAGCAATGATTGTCCCTGATGGCACTTGTTTGGTTATCGCCTGTTATACACTAAGGCCCATTGAATTGTTACGGCCCCTGACGTCTGCCAGAGGAGCCTAGAAGTTGCTGGCAAGTGGTTGAGCGCTTTGTGCAGTGCTAGGGGGTACGGATGTAGAGAATTGTGTACTATGTGTAAGTACAAACCGAAGTATGCAAGCGCACGTATGTATAGATACCTGTCGTATTGCGAGCTGTTCAGTTTCTTTCCATCGAGAA